TCCGCTGCCATGTTGCCCCTCTGCTTTGCTCTCAGCTTGCCCCGTGTGTACCGCAGTGACACCGAGAGGGAGTGCTTATGTGTGTGCTTTTGTGTATGAGAGTGGCTCGAATAGGATGTATAACCGTGTTGTCTGTGTGCCCTTCTAGTAGCTACAGTGTATTCTTCGTGACTACCGAGGTTTGCGCCGTCCGATGCCCGCGTGTCCGCCTCTCTGCCCCCCCGGAGATGTTGTGACTACGTTCCGAAGTTATAGTGAATCGTCCCAGAAAGCTCCCGAAAAGGGCATCACGTCCGTTGTTGGATGGATGAATGGAGATCTTTCTCTGGCAATTATTTGAGAGTCAGTCAGGCGAGGCATAGTTGTGGTTCAAACTCTTGTTTGATAATTCTGGAACCTGAGTTATTGGTTTGTCAGAATTTTTTATTTTTCTTCATCTTCAAGGAAAACTAACAATGAAAAATAAAAATAAAAAAAGACTGAGAAAAAAATTTGAGAAAAAAAAAACCCTGTTTTGCCTTTTCGCGGGCCCCGAGACTCCTATCCTATCCCATTGGCATGTAACTAAATTTTTTTTTTTTTTTTTTTACCCTTCTTACTTTTGTGAATATCGCCTCATGCTAACGCCCCATCGCCATGCATCGTCAACTTCCTAGTCTGGACATTATTCATTGCCGGCCGGGTCGCGGCATGGACTCCCAGCGAAAAGCATGTAATCTGCCCAGGTGACCGCCACAGCTTGTTTTCGGTCGTTGACCGAGCAGCCCCATTGTGCGTTCATCAGCGCCTCATACCCCAGAGTGACGCTGCGCTCATCATCTGTGGCGTTACAACGAAAGCAACTTCAGGCAAGGAACCCTGATATTGCGGAGTTTTACTTGTCCACTACTACAGAAAGTCTGAACTCTGTTCAAGGAGATAGCTGCCCACCACCAATCTGTGCTTCCTTTGGCCTGTCCTTTCACTTTCTCCCTCATTCCCTTTTTTTCTCCCTGTCTCCCCTTGCCAAATTATTAATGTGATAGTTACCTACTTATCTACACTCCCACCCCCAGCATGTCCATCAAGAAGGTAGATGGAGGGGATGTGTAAACAGCCAGGAAAAAGTCAAAAAAACTCTCCTTCTCTCTAGTATTAGATCAGCATTATGGGATTCTTGCGACCGGTCCGCCACTTTGACATTTGCCCATCTTTATTTTGCGTTTGCCGGGACCCTGAATAATTATTGGGACCTGTCATCATAACACTCGTCATCACGCAGGTTGTGAGATTCTGACTTCTCCGACGTCGACCAGCCTGACGTAGCTGATTGACATCAACCGTAACTCGTAGTTGTAAGATCGGCGTAGCTGGCCTGTCTGGTCTGTCACTGACAATGACCATCCTCTGGTGAACCTCCCCCTGCTACCCTTTTTCCCTCCCGAGGTGCCCCTTTGGAATCAAACAGGCCCCTACAAGAGGCGTCGACCGACCCCCCACTATACCGGGGGGTTCCACTTTTCGTCACAATCTGCCCAGGGCCATGAGTAGAGTGTGAAGCAGTTAGCGGAGTAAGCAATCAGAAAGTCTTGGCTTTTTCCATGCGAAACGACGAAACCCTTACTACACTAGTCAACATCTCCGTGGTCTGCCATGCTAGGGTCAAAGTTTGAGTTGGTGATGATTTACTAAATCCCTACGCCGCTGAAGCAGAGACAAGCCGCCATCGTTATTCGCGCTATGCTCCCTCTCTCTCTCTCTCTCTCTCTCTCTCTCTCTCTCTGTCACTCTCTCTTACCCGAAAACAAAAGGGTACGTAGCCCGAGCCATAGCCAGCTTAATCGCTTCCCCCCTCCCCGGGGCCGCTCACGATCTCTGATCTAACCGATAATCTCGGGCCCCGCAAAGGTGCCAAGGCCCGTCGGTTTGTTGGATAAGTATACTAGTAGAGGCATGCACAATCAAGCCTTATAAATCTTGTTCGAGAGAATTGTTATGGCCCTTCCCAACGTCCAAGCCATATCCGTTGACTTTGGGGCGAGGAGCGAGCCCGTCAAAGTCAGCAATTAAAATCCAAGCCAAGCCCAGTCAAGCCAGGCGTCATGCCGCCATGGCCGCATTAGGCCTGACCTACAGAAGAGGCTGAATGCCAGGGCTGAAAAATGGAAGGCTTCATAGAATATCCAGATTATAGCTCAACCGTGCGTACGTCCGTAAGCCATTGATTCCCATGGTTTCGCACTCTAATCCCGGTAAGGAAGTGAGAAGGAGTACGATGGCCTCGGCGTCCGCCACTACGCCACACGACCTTTACCGGCAAATGTGAATCGTTGTTTCTTGAATAATGAGCTGGGGGGAAATGAGCCGGGAATGACAATAGACAATGGTCGAAATTGCAGTCGTCGTGAAACACTCGTGGCAGGTTGTAACTGAGCGACGATCGTTCATCAACGGAGGTGTGACCAAGTTGGGGAAATGACAGCCGCTCCTCCGAAAGGTAAAATGTGCATCACGGTTTTGAAGGCGCGGCATCAAACCAGCTGGCACCGGAGCAGGTGGGAGGGATTTGGCAGATCGGGTCGGTTCAAGTTGAACTCTGTGCGGAAGGATGAGTGAGTGCATTGTGTGGGTTTTTTTTTTTTTTTTTTTTTTTTTTTTAACTTGCCTTCCCTCGCTCAGTCACTTACTCTACGGATTTTCCGTGTCTCATTCAGAGTTTGTTTCTGAATGAGTGGGTTTTCCGGGCCCAGTGGTGGATCGTTCATCGTCTTGTCCTGTTGGCGCCTTCCCTGACATTTGGCCTCGTCATCCTCATTTTGCATTGTCACTGCCAGCTAAGCTCCTACTGTGTAGGTCATACCCCAGGCTCACAGCTCTTCCGTACTACATAGGGTGATAGGAAGAGGGCAGGTCAACGAGTGGAGCCGAGATTCGCCATCCGACATACGAGACGTCACCCGGCCGAGTGAACGGTGTGCTTTCCGGGGCTCGCTACGCGGAAGACCCGTTTCGACGAGGGGGCCGCTGTACTTGAGAGTGATGAGCAGGGGGGCCGGCTCGCAGCTGAGTGTCATTGTAAGGAAGATGGCTTCCTTAGGGGATTGAAAATGGTAGGACTGGGGCCATTTTCAGATCCCGATGTTGCTGGGGGGTACCCAGGGCCCCGCGAAAGGGAAGGGGAGAAACAGAGTTTGGATACAAAACCTAGACAACTTCTGTGGCTTCCACATGGTTATCATTTTTGGAAACCCCATCTCACTCATCGCTGACAACGTCCGACGAAAAAGTCAGAAAGAAGGGTTCTGCTCCGTGAAAAACCGGGGCGAGTCAGGATCCTACGGTCCACCGGTTCCCACCAGTTCCACCGGTTGGAGGCTGCCCTTGCCTTCATTCTAGAAAACCGAGAACTTTAAATTCTGGAGAACCCGGGGGCTGGACCTGGGCCCTAGTGTGGTGTGGATTGAGCGTCGGGGTGATCATGCACACGCCTGACAAGCAGGACACACCAACAGTGACAACACCTCTGTAAAGCCTTCCTTCTTGACCTCTGTGGATGCATTCCCGTTTGAGGTATACGGTCACGGCCCGGTCAGGCGGCGGTGAACCAGCATCGAGAAACCGACTGCCAGCTCTCCCGTCCCGTCACAAACGGCGTGGTGGCTAAACTTTTTCAGCCGCCTTTTTCTTTTTCTTGTTCTTGTTCTTTTGTGGAGCACGAACATATTTGCAGTCGTTGCCATCGCCGTCCTGCTCCTCATCCGGAGGGTCTCACGGGGCTTCCGAGTGGGTGGACAAGTCGCGAATAGGGCAAGCCAAGGCGAATCGATAGCACACCATCACCTCCCGTGCCATCGTTCCGCGAGGCCCTCGAGGGTCTGGCCAGCTCCATTCAGCTTCGGGAGATTGTGGGCGGGTCAGCCTGAACGGGAGGGTAACACATCACCAACCCCTCTTCCGCACACTACGACACGCACACATCATCGCATGTGGACGCTTCCAGCCCTGTTCACGATCCAACCATGAACCCCTATGGTCGGCCACATTCCGTTGCCCACCCAGAACCACCACTTTCCCACTTTCCCACTTTCCCACTTTCCCACTTTCCCACTTTCCCACTTTCGGTTTGGTTCGTGCTATGGCCATCCGACCCGAGCTGCGTCACCTGTATCGATCTGGATATCACGACCGGCCAGGAATCCCCTCGCGGCCTCAACTCGGAGCCCAATGCCATCGTGCCTCGGCCGTGGTTTGGATATTCATCACGGACCCGGAGGTGAATAGCGTCTGTAGCAGGAAATCCATGAAGATTCACACAGGAACCATAGAAGGGAAGAAAAAAAAAAAAAAAGAGCCCCACTATCGGATAATGCATATGTTGGTGAGCCCTGAGTCGAGTCTGGTTCTCGAAGTCCTGAGGAACATTACTAGCGCGGTTTGCGAAGTACGCTTGGACAGCGCCGTCTCTGTCCCTCCCTTTCCCGTGCCTGAATGCCAGCATCATTCATCCGGTCCGGCGTCTACATCCAGGCCCGAGGAGGGCCTGCTGACTTTCGGGCATGGCGTTTGAAAACAAAAGGATGAGCAAAACTTTAGACCTCCCTCACACTCGGCAGTCACGGCTTCTTGGCCGCCCGGTCGTGTCCGCAATGCGCAAACACAAATAGAGCCGTCCGTTGGTTCTCTTGCCGCGCAGTTCCGGTAGCACTTCAAATCGAAAGTCAAATTCTATTAAGCCAAGCCAAGTAACTGTATTATAAACACAAATCCACAGAGTTCGCGAAACTCTTGGTGTGGAGGATGCTGATGCTGATGCTGGTCTACAATTGAGTGGATCTATGAGCTGCTGTTAGGAAAAGAAAACACCCGAACTGGCCTTTAATCCCGAGAATAAACGAGAGGTTCGCTCGTTGATAATACAATGTTGAGAGGTGCTTGGTATCCCAGGACCTTCCGACCCGCCGTCTGTAAGTGGGGACTGGGCCAACACGATGATGGTCTCAGATTACTAGTGTACGGCTGGCCTATTTGCTCCGCCGTTTGCCGATCTGCCATCCCCATGATCTAAGTACTTTAACAACCTTTGGCGTTACCGCCGCAGTCAAAGGTACTCTCAAGAAGATGAAACTTTTGTGGATTGCATACGCCAACGCAAGTTGAGTTCCCAGGCCTGCAACAACAAAATTGAGTAAGTTGTTCCGTCTCGTTGCAAGAGTGGAAGCGAAGGGGAAAAGAGGGTCTCCAAAGCATCGATAAGAAAGCGCATGGACTTACTGGCTTCTGCCTTGTTGCGCGCTTCCGCCTCTTCAACTCCCCAACCAGCCATTTCGACGGCCTCACTAATGTCATCGTTCCCGAACTGCTCGGTCTCGGCTTTGCTAAGCGCTGCTCTATATTCGGTCCACCAATTTTGGACCGATTCGGGGATGATTTTCTTTACATGGGATGTTACCCAGTGCTCGAGCTGACCTACAGCAAACCTTGTCAGTGTTGTGGCTCAAACACACTTGCGCGCGTGTAATCGCTCACCAATCCTGTCTGTGCCAACAACTCGGACTAGCAAGAAACAGAAGGGAAAGTCAAGAATGCTCAAAGTAAAATACACTCCCACAGCCGACCAGCCATACTCCTTGGAAAGTTTCTTCAGTCTCTGGCTCAATGACAACGATTCCTGGGTGGTTTTCCCGGCTGTTGTATTCCTCTGGGTGGCGGAAAAACGGAATGTCCGGCGCGAGCCTCTGAACATTGTTTCGAGACGAGAAGTCATCCAGCTCCAGTTATATGTTTGGGTGCGACGAGTCGCGCTTGTCTTGCTACTCAGCAACCTCACGGGTGATGTCGTGAGGGGCCTCCTCGGCGCAGTGAGCTGCTTCTTCCATATCGCCTCCCATGCACCTTGTCTCGCAGTCGGTATCGCACGGCGCGGAACGGCCGCGAGTTGGAACGTCGGTCGCATCATGATTTTGGGCAGCTGTGTGGGTGACGCCACTTTAGTCTCTGCCAGAAAAAATAAATAAATAAGTGAACTGTATTGTGTTTCGTGAAAGCTTATGATAACAGGCGTGTCGATTCAGGCACAAGCTGTAGGGCGCGGTCAAGAACGGGAGCTTTCAATAGCAAGGCGTTGTGTGAGTTGTGTTCGGAAGAGTGCAAGAGCTTGTTCAGAGCTTGGGTCCGAATCGCCGTAATCTCTGGGTAGGATGCAAGTGGTGATGCGCGTCCGTATCACCGTACCGGTTGCGGCCGAAGCTCTCTCACAGGGCTGGGCGAAATTGCTCAAATTGTCCGCAGGCCGGCTGGCTCGGATTGATCAATGCGGGTGTTGCTTCGGTGGCGTGCAACCCGTGGAAACCACGTTCGTTGACTTCTTTGACCCTAGATTTGGATAAAAATCTGTCAAGAATATTGGAGCTTTTCCAATGAGCTCTTAGCTCCGGTGCCTTGGGTACCTGGTTAGGACGGAATTCGTGCGGAACATGCCGCTAAACTCTTTGCTGATGGGGTCACGTGAGTTACTCGGAAGAGATAGTCTCCGGCAACCGACAATAATGTTGCGGAAAGCGGAAGTCGGACGCAGGTGGCCGCAGCTGCAACAGCATAGGGTCCTCTGGGAAAACATCAACAACAGCGAGAACGAAATTTTTGAAAATCGGAGCAAAAACGGCCCCAAATACGCGTGCTCGCGGCCACAGAGCCCCCTTCGATGCAATGCCATCCTCGGCCTTGATTCTACGTCCCAAAGGGGCCCAAGATGGCCGCAGAGCACGCCCCGACTACAATGAAAAACTTGAGAGCAAGCCGCAAAATACGACATATCAATAGACAACACTGTTACCACCACCACAGGCGAGCCACAAGCCGCTACACGAAGCACTAAGACTGCGCCCAAACAATCAACTTCAACACAACAGCCGCCGACAGGTTTTGGGTCACCTGTCACCCCCGACAAAGTTTGCAACGTCCCACAACGACGAAGATGAGTCCGACAGAACAGTATCACCTTCCGCACGGAGAAAGCACCAGGCATTAGGCATGCTACGATCGATGCCACACAATACTACAGACCACAGACAGACTGGTCCCCTGTCGCCCCTTTTGCGAAGAAGGATTGGTGTCCCTTCAACGCGCGACAATGTCTGCGGAATCTGTGCGGGAGCTCTCATACCCAGTAATCGAACATGTCGGAGTCAGTGGAGCATTGTGCTTCGTGGAAGACCCTTGGGCCAATGTGGTGGAGGGCAATAGTGGTCAACAGGCAAGAAACAAGAGGCCACATAGGAACCCGGCAGGAGGCAACAAAGAATTTACAGATGCAACTGAGAAAACGGCACATACAAGTCCGGGAGGATACGGACAAAACAAAGAGACAAAGCTGAGCGCTGGGGGGAGACTGTAGGTACAAAGAACCAGATACGGTGCTACCAGCACCAACTGAACCGAAGCAGGAGGACGCAAAACAAGCATTCTAGAGAGCAACACAAAAGCGAGAAAGCAGACAGGAGAGCAACACACTTCTTCAACAGAGGGCACAAACACACAGAATAGAGAACATAGTGGGGAGCTTGGGGATAGCTGGCCCTGATGCAACATCAGGGCGAAGTGGGGCGTCGCTGTTCATTGTCGACGCTTCGGCTACCTGCCAAACCCCGCTTTCCGGGCATAGCTGCTGGCATAAGAGCGGCTTCATAACCGAGTAGGAATAAATCAATCAATCAATCAATCAATCATAGGGTCCTCTGTGTTGTCCCCGTTACACTCAAAAAATAGCTTCCACACCCTGCGACAGCTGCACGCTACAATCCACCACGATACTGCTTGGCACAGACCAGTCCGTTCATTAGACTTACAGCATCTCTAGACCCCGCGAGCAACAGGAGTTTTCAATATATCAACAGGAGTTGTTTGAGTTGTCTCGATTGCTCAGAGTTTGAGCAGAGCTAATTTGGGCCATCGTGTAATAGGTTCGCCTAGTATTCCGTAGGATCTCTCCGATGCCCCACGATCTCCTCCGGGTTGAGGGTTTGTGAGAATAGCTCAGGGTTTTGGCAGGGATTTTTCACATTGAAACCTTCTGATGGCTTACTATAGTAAACTTCATGACACCTTAAAGCATCAACTCGTGGGCTATAACAACCCCCCATCCACAGCCTGACAGAAGCCCTCAATTTGATTGATTCAGTGTGACTGCCTAAGTTGGTAGTTTTAACGCAGGATTCGGTGAATCTTATGGCGAAGTTTCCATTATTACTTCAGGAGGCAACCGAACAGAGCGAGGTAAACTCTGTCCAAGTTGCTGGCATCACGGCTGTCAATTTCAGGTTTTGGGCCAAACTTTGGGTGTTAACTCCGGAGTCTAGTTTTGGTAAGCCGGCAGACGAAATGCTCGGTGGGAGTCCGAAGGCTTCTCAGTGAGTGAGCATTAGTCTTTGGGGCTGGTCCGATCAGCAACGGTGCCCAGCTTCTTCGTGGGGTTCAAACATTGACTGTGTGTCATCAGCTCCAGGCTTCAATTCCTGTCGACCGAACCCCGAGTGCCGGCCGGTGAAGTGCGGAGTTTAAGGCGGGAACGCCGGGCCTGGTCGCCTTGGCCTTAGAGTCTCTTTTATCACTATTATGAACTTTGTATCAGACCAACATTAGCAGCTGCAGCTTACTTTTCAGTTTGCCTGACCGCTTTCCAGGTGCACTTGAAGTTTGCAGCAGGCAACAGCTGATCACGGTGATCTGTCCGTCTAGGCAGGGTAATTGGAGGATATCAATAGCGCAAACCTTCTTTGGGCCCCTTCGACCATGTCCAGGGCCCAGAAGAGCGCTTACAACAACCGTGCGGGGACCCGGCAGGCAAGAGAAAGGACTTATGACGACAAGGTTTGCGGTACAAGGATGAGTGCGGTGTTGTCAGGGATGTAAAAGTCAAAATCACACTAAGGGGCCGCGGGGCTGAATGGGTTGGTATGCTCTCGTGATTTTACATTACTCACAGCTTACTTTTCAGGCCTTTCGCCGCTTCAACGCACGATAACCTGTCGCTGGTTGCAGAATAAGGCCACACCGTGCACAACTCTGGAGTCGTGTTCTTGGCCTCCCGAGCTCCTCCGAAGCGGGAGTATGCACTTCGGGTCCGGTACGCGGTTCGCAGCCCTCCCTGGCATCTGGGTCCCCTGATGCAATGGCACTCCACTACGGATATCTTGCTTGGCGCCAATCCTTGATCGGATACCGATAGGTCACCAGCTGGTGCAAGGAAGTGGGCGTGTGTCTATCAACAATCAGTGTGGGTGGGTGTGTGTATGTTTTGGAGAAAGTGTGTCTGTACAACACGTGCATGCACACTCACAGGAACAGAGAGTGTGGGTGCTGTCTGCGGATGTAAGTGACTTGCAGGTCGTGGATGATGATGCTGATGATGGCACAGGCACGCATGTTCAATAGTTCGGATGACCTTTTTAGGAGCTATTCAAACCACCACTATGATTCTTTCGCGTGGCTACCGCGGCTAATGCGGAACCAGAACTTTAACAGACTTTTTCTCGAATCTTTCGAATCCGCTTGGCGCCTGATGTTTGAAGGTCTCCAACAGCATTATCGCCTCCATCAAAGTCTGAAGTTTAAATGTACCAACAAAATGCATCGGTATTAACTTTCATGAGCCCATGGCGCAGTCTATTCTGCGACTCACTGCACACTCTTTCTGGGTGGTGTTTTTTCTCTCTTTTTCTCTATTAATTATACAGCACTTTCCGTTTTCCTTCCTAGCCGTGTTCAACAACGTTGTCACGGTCCACTTGGTGGCGGGTATCTTGCGTCGTATTCGATACTCTGAGAACAGGTATTCTGCATCCCCGCTCATTCTCAATCCATGATTCCACATGGCCTGCGAGAGATGCCGGCCGGATAGCGCGTCAAGGTTCCTACAGGTCGCCCTGAAAGCCTTGTGTGGCTGGGACCCCTGGCCGAGAAATGGCCCCGCCGGATGATGGCAACTTGGTAAGAATCTGGCTGTAGAGGTATTGACACAGGAGGTGCGGTATTGAGCCGCGTTCTTGAGTCAGGAAGCAGGTCGCCATAGGCCTGCTGAAGAGTGCTCCAACAACCTATTCCACCACAGAGGACTAGGGGTCGGTAGCCGCCAAGATTACCAAGCAACAAAACGAAGAAAAGACCCGCTGCCAGTTACGTGTCGAAACGTTCCACTTTGAAAGCATAGAATGGCCCATTTCCCTTCTACTCTAGGTAATACTAGCTAGTCTGTCTGTCCTCCAAAGGGTTGAATCAGCAACATGGGACCAATGTGGAAGCGACCCATATACCAAGCCCATCCATTGCCGAGGCAATCCCGAGGGGGTTATTACGCAAGGAAGACTGGTTGTCAACACCAACATAAGTCTGCGGCTAGGCTGAAGAAAATTTAAAAATGAAATAAAATAAAGAGAGGCAGCATTTTGACATCTGACTCGTTTCATCGGGGGCATGGCTTAATCCAGCAAGCTTCTAGAAGCGTGGCGGATTGTTTCAGGTACGTCCAGAAGATGGCTGACAAAGGAGCAGGCGAGGGCCGTGGCGCGGAAGGGATGACGGCTTCCCCTTGATGGGGGAAGGGGGCCTGCGGAGGACCTCAACGGGAGTTCCGATTTTCAGATGGGCCATTCTTTTTCGGCTCTAAGGTTTTTCTTCATTTTTTTCCCTTGCCTGTCCGTAATCGTACCATGCCCAGAAACAAAAATGGCGCTTGCGGTGATGAAGACAGTTTGTTTCATGTCACCGAAGTTCAGTTGTCTGCCCAGCGGTGGCGTAAAAGCAATGTGATAGGATATCATCTTTGCTGCCCACGATTCGCAGGTGGCCGTGTGCGGACCGGGCGGGTAGAATCCCGGTATCGATCCCCACCAATCTGTGTACTATTACGGTGATGGAGGTGGTAGTGGTGGTGGTGTGAGAGAGACGGCGTGAGTAGCGTAA